GCAAGCTAAGAAAATGCTTATCTCCCTGAGCCTGGCCTTCATAATTCCATTCCATCACATTATCATGGCCCATGCCACTGAATTCTGGACCTTTTTGTTTCAGAAAGTTGAAGCTTTCGATTGGCCTTCAAGGGCAGCCCCATATAGAGCGTATTGCAATAGGCAAGCTGTGAGGTGACTATAACATAGTGACTATTATTGTAATACATAGTTTTATTTTAAAATTTTGGTTAGTTATTTATGCTTCTTTTTTTTTTAAAAAAAAGTTTAAAATCAAACTGGCAACTAAATATTCTTAATAGTATTTTTACTAATATTGTTTTTGATAATTGGGCTTTGAATTGGGCTTTTAGGGAAATGTTTGAGTTCTCAGGTGATTATATGTATATATTCTAAGATTTTATCTCCAAAGGTAAATGTTGAAAGCACAATGTCATATTCAACTTCCTGTTTTATAATACTTTTATAAAATGAGAATGAGATCTGATAAAATGATAATTACATCTTAGAGCTGAGGGTCTTGATTTTTTACTTTTTCCTATTAAGTGCAATTTTGTTATTGTGCAGCTGCCCCATTTTACTAGATATGGCTTTTGAAATGTAAATCATATCAAGTTCCAAAATGCATACTGACATCATTCAACACTGCCTTTGCATTTCAAAGGCATATACAGTCATACTTACATCTCAACAAAATTTTAACAATCCCCTTTCATGTGTATAATCAGTTCCTACTAAATGGGGCTGTGTGTGTGTGTGGTTGTCTGCGCATGCAAGTGCTTTTAGTCCCTGAATGTTGTAGATCTTGCCATGAATCATCTTAAAACATCTTTCTTTTCAATTTCTTAGCCTGCACAAGGGGACGGTGAAGCTCAGAGTGGTCCCAGAAAAGAAGTGAAGAGTACCTCTGGCTGACTCTAAGCAAAATGAGCAAACAAGCAAGCAATAGAACCCTATGATGTTCTCCAAGCAGAGGCTTAGAACTAAATTTTGAACTTTTTTTTTTATGCATGGAATGGCTGCTATCTTCTTCATGAATACAATGGCCATAATTCTTTGTCAGGACGGTTGAGGCACTTGATCTGGACTTGCCATTTGAGTTTGAGACACATCCTATTTTCCCTAGGTCTTAAAGGACCTGAGAACAGGTGGGAATTGAGGGATGTCAAATGCTGGATTGTGGTAAAAAAATGGACATTCACAAGTGAAGATGGAAGTAACTTGATCCCTTCAACCGTATAAATTGCCTCTGGAAAGGAAAGGTTAAGACTGGAGTCACACGCTTTAGTGGGAGAGCAGTATGCAGGAAGCTGGTTTTCAGGCCACAAATGCTTTCACAGGTAAGGATTTTGTTGTACTGAAATATAATCTTCTGATGCATTTTTGCATCAGATGTAAGAAGTTGAGATATGCAAATCAAAGCCTTGTTCTCTTATTTAAAGTTTATTATAGTTGTATATCACCATCTACTTTTATTGACATGCTTCTGATGAGCAGAATTAGATTAATATCCAACTGGAGAAGTATTAAATATTTCAGTTAGTTTTCACTCAGTGCTAGGCATGAAACATAATAGAGGATAGGAAGTTGTATATGGATTTCCAAAATATTACTTGGTGAATTTTCTTTTCAAATATCAAATGCTAGATGACTTTGTATAGTTGCAAGCAGATTTTGGCTTAAAAGGTATAATTGATATCTTTTATATTACTCTTGTTAAATTCAATATGACTGCTGTTGAATAACTGGAATAGTGCAATATATGCCTTATCAAGGAACTTTTCAAACTTTGTCAGTTAAAGCTCTTAACCTTTGTTTTTTGGATTTGGTCAGAAAAGCCTGGGAAACCATGAGCAACAGTAAGTGGTGACTCTTTAGACTCCAACAGAGGTTATTTAGAAAAACATAGTGGTTATACAATGTAACTTGTAGGGTCAGACAAAAATTCTTCATATGTGGGTGAACTTGGCAATTTAAATCAGCAAGAGAGGTCGGATGTGGTTTGTTTCTCTGTTTTTTTGGTTCAAGGTTTTTGGGAACCCTACAATAAAAGGAAATAAATATCTTTCAGTGTTACATTCATTTTTTCACAGCTTGATTTAGTGAAATTCTAGTCGATACCATAATAGTCTACCAAAGGAAATTTAGACACATTGCTTTAACAAACTAAGAATTAATAGAAGTTGGTTCTAAAATTCAACTGTATTGTTGAAAGGAAAATCATGACCAACACATACCTGAACAACCTCCATGAGATGAGGTATTATCAGTATGCGGATGATACTCAGTTGTACATCCCTATCCCAGGTGAACTAAGTGGTTGGAGGCTGTGGGGGTCTGGATGGGGAACAACAGGCTTTGACTGAACCCTCGTAAGACGGAGTGGCTGTGGGTTTGGAGCTCTTCCGCATCTGGTGGTTTACCATCTCTGGTCCTGGTTGGGGTTACAGTGCTCCAAATGGATGTGGCGCGTAATCTGGGGGTCCTCCTGGACTCATGATTCCTGCTCAAGGAGCAGGTGGCAGTTGTGGCTAGGAGGGCCTTTGCTCAACTTCATGTTGTGCATCAGTTGTGCCCTTTCCTGGATCAGGAAGTCCTTCTCTCAGTCACTCATGCCCTGGTCATCTCCAGTATGGACTATTGCAACATGCTTTACATGGGGCTACCCTTTAAAAGTTATTTCAGCCCACCCCACTCAGTCTGGCAGAAGGGGCATGTTGCAGACCCCACCAATCAAGGAATTTTGACTGGTGGGATCTAGGCAGAGGGCCTTTTCTGCTATGGCCCCCGCTCTATGGACCAGTTTTCCTCCCAAGGTGTGGTGTGCTCCCACTCTTATGGCCTTTAGGAAAGGGGTGAAATCCTGGCTATGCCAGAAGGCCTGGGGCCGGATGGGGGCTCACATCAGTGGAAGTGACTTGTGGGGTAATTGATTTTACCACCACCCACCCAGCATGTCTTGAATGTCTTTAGTATTTATGTATAGGGTTTGTTTTTAGTGGATTTTAATGGATTGAGTATTTAATTATTTATGGGATATTTTAATTGTTTATAGGTTTTTGACTTTTAATTGTGAGCCGCCCAGAGTCACTCATTGGGGGAGATGGGCAGCATACAAATTTAATAATAAATAAATAAATAAAAATAAAATCCTGAAGCTGTAGCTAGTGTAGAATGTGGTGGCAGGGGCAGTTAAGGGCGTCTCTAGGGCTGCACATGTAACACCTCTGCTGCGTGAGCTGCATTGGGTGCTGGTTTGCTTCCGGCTCCAATTCAGGGTGTTGGTTATGACCTTTAAAGCCCTTCATGGCCCAGGTTACCTGAGGAACTGCCTTGCCCAGTTACATTGACCCATACCACCTAGTCTGACAGGAAGGGCATGCTACAGACCCCATCAGCTAAAGAATTTTGACTGGCGGGGTCTAGGAGGAGAGCCTTTTTTGCTGTTGCCCCTGCCCTGTGGAGCATCTTGCCCCCTGAGATGAGATTGGCCCCCACTCTTTTGGCCTTCCAGAAGAGTGTTAAGGACCTGGGTCTGCCAATAAACATGGGGATCCAATGGGAGCTTGCAGTACTGGGGGTGGTGGGTGGCCTGAGGACGCTCTCTCCATCTTTTAACTTTGTATATTTTTGTAAGATTTGTATCACTTTTTATCATGTTTTACTTGTAAGCCACCTAGGGAGTCACTTATACAATGAGATGGGCAGTGCAAACATTTGATAAATAAACAAACAAGCAAACAAACACATACCTGAACAACTTATAGCAGAACAAAAAATGTTAAATTGTAAAAGATCACCAGTATCTTTAAGTACATCCATAAAGTATGTTATACTTTTACAAACACTTTTCTCATAATTTGTGTTTACAAATCAAACTGCAGCACTATTGTTATAATTTAATATGATTCAGTTATTTCTAGTGGCAGAAATTTGCTTTTATAAGAGGTGGTAGCTAGGTTGGTTTTGTTACCTTGCAGAATTAACTGAGTGATCTGATCTTCTAAGGGTCCAATTCAGACTATTGGATTACTGTATTAAGTTCCACTGAAGTTGATGAGACATTGATTTCAATAGAGACTAAGGCCAATTAAGTGAATCTGAACCCTAGCAATTAAAAATAAAGAAATGGACATAGTCCAGCTCATCCTAAACTGTCCCACTGAAATTTTGGAAATGTCTTAATGTCTACATCAGGGATTGTTATAAGGAGACATCTCTGCTGCAAATGCCTATATCATAGGATGTTGTCCTCGAGACATTTCCAATCTTTATATGCTTCCTTTAGGGCTGCGATCTATTTTTTGGCCTAGGTATTTAGGAAAAGAAAACCTTCTGATATGTGTACAGAGAGCTGTATAGGTTGATATGTGTATGCCAATAACTTTCAGCAGATCAAAATTATCAGTGGGAGTTGGACATAGCTATGGTTGCACTGTGTCAGATAGAAAGCATATGAAATGTATGTTAAAGAAAATTGCTGAATAGATCAAAATATTTTTCCGATATTCAGAATCTGTAAAGTAATGTATATGGTTAGAGACACTGCTGACTTAAGCAAAATATAAATTCCCCAAAGGCTGATTTCTATTTAACGTGGTACTGTCCTTACTAAAAATAAAACAACCTAGAAGTGAAATGGTAAATGAGATGGAACATGTATGAAGATTAAAAGGTAAAGATGTTCTTGAGTCAAGCTCCTGAAAGAATCAGTTGAGACCACATCCATGAAGTTTTCTTGGCAATGTTATGGAAGTGGTTTGCCTTTGCCTTTTTATCACATCTTGTATTGACTTCTCAGTCTGGCCAACAGTCCTAGAGTTTTTAAGCAGTCTTGCTTTCCAAGTTCTAAAGAAAACTGATCCTGCTTAGCTTCCAATATTCAAGTCAGCTAGGTTATGCCACATTGAGAAGCAATATAATCTAATTTGCTTTTATATGCTTCCCCAATATAGTTTTATATTAAGGATGATTCTTAAGCTTTGTAAATTATGATGAAGTCTCTTGGCTACATAATAAAATTGTGGTAATTTTAATACAAGTAAAAAAGATTGCAGCCTTTTTAATAATGTTACACATTAAATTATTTCTGCTGTAGATTACATAATATTTTCTGTAACATAAGGTTATGTAATATTTTATGCTAATAGTTGTTACTAGATACTGAACTTTACTTCATATGCATGGGAGAAATTTTCAAAATAAAGAAAATAGAAATACAAATATTAATTAACTAGTGAAGCTATGGCTTCAGAAGAGTATTTTAAAAATACATTAGAGTATTTTTATGAACTCTAATGTCGCGTGACTGTGAACACTGCTACAATAGTGTGGTGTCCTTCTCTTAGGGCCACAATATTTCTAATGTTTTGTTTAGGCTAACAGAAAGAATAATGAAATAATTGCTCACCCTGATCTAAGTAGCTTGCTGAGGGAGGTAGCACAATACTCACCAGGTAGTTTGGATCATAACTCTCACCAGCTCCATCCAACATGACTAATGATCAGAGATAACAGGTGCTATAAATAAAAAAGGTCTACAGAGTACTACGTTGCAGTTTTGCAAGGTTTAATTTTCAAAAAAGATTAATAAGGGATTAATCCCTGAGAATGTTTAATTTAATTATAATAGAACATTAACAGTTTTACATATAAGATTATATATAAAGTGTATTTACTATCATGAATACTACATAATTAATCCAGAATCAGGTTTCCTTATGCAGCCCACCATGAAAAATGACAAAGGAAGAATATAATATGAATAATTTCTCCCACTGTTGTTTCTCAGCATACTGTCTGATTCTGGTGGAACATTCATGATTTATTTATTTATTTATTAAATTTGTATGCTGCCCACCTCCTCCAACGAGTGATTAGAAAACACATCCTGTGTTCTTGATATCTTGTTAAGCCTTGTTCAAGCATCCCTTTCATTAATTAACAGAGGTGGCTAAACTTTAGGATTTTTAGCAGTTCATGCTTAATTTGCATAGGGTTAAGAATGTTGTGATATTTGATAGGAGGCCAGTATTCTTTCCCAAAAGAAATTCCATTGCTCACCAGTTGTGACAAATACAAGTTGTGCATATGAATGCAACTGTATCTCAGTGGTAATTCATGCTTTGTATGTCAAGGATCCCAAGTTTAATCTTTAACATCTCCTGGTTAGTCTAGAAAAGTTTCCTTCCTGAGAGTGGGAAAGCTACTGTTTGTCAGTATTGACAATACTGAGCTAGGCAGACTGACGGTATGACTCAATACATTGGAACATCCTGTGTTCCTTTCACAACTTTGTATAAGTGCAAATCCAGCTGGCAATGCTTTAAAGCATCCAAAG